ATATATATATACATATATCTCTCTCTCTCTCTCTCTCACTGCTGGGCAAGTTAACGCGTTATTATCGCGTTAATTAATTAACGCTGACAATTATTTTATCGCGCGTGTTTTAACGCAGTTTTTTAAAATAATATAAAAAATATATAAAATGACACGGACATCTAACACCGTATATAAGTGCAGAGTTCAGGGAGCTGAACTATATATACATATATATATACTGTAAACAACTCAATATTCAGTTGGAATATATATATATATATATATATAAACAAATAAATAAAGATAAAATGGCATGGGCATAATAAGCCGTATGTAAGCTCAGAGTTCAGGGAGCTGTTTACATTCAGTTGGAATGAAATATTTATTTATATATACATATATTGAACAGTAGTTATGAAGAATTATTTTATTGAGAAAAACACGCAATACATAGTGTGTTGAGATGTAACTTCTTTTACTTGAAAAGCACAACATCACACTCCATATAGCCAGTATACAGACTGCAACTACATTTAAGGTGTATACGTTCCCTCTGGTGTGTTTAAGCTCAAACCTACACATGCTCTTTTCTCTTGAGTAGCTTTTTAAAAGCCAGCTTGAAATCGTCATTGAAGCTGGTGTACAGCAGAGGGTTGATGAGAGAGTTGATGTAACCCAGCCAAGTCAGGAAGTCCGAGATAAGCGGAGAGGGCTGCACCATCCGAAGGCCCACTAGGACCTCCTTTAAAAAGAAAGGCAGCCAGCAGAAAATGAAGGCCCCGAGAATGAGGCCGAGGATTCGAGCTGCTTTCCTCTCGCGTGAGGTGCATATCTGGTTCTTCTCATCCTGCCCGTCCGTGTCCGTCTCAAAGGACGGGATGCGGATGGTGGTGTTGAGTTTGTCGGTAGCCAGCGTAGGATCTGAGTTGGACAAGTCGGACACACAGAATGTGTGGGAGACACGGCAATGGTCCACAGAGTTCTGACTGCCCATGCTGCGGCTGCTGAGGTGCCGAGAAGAGCCACGCTTCTGGTACAGCGTTTTTGCGGCGTTGTAAATCCTGTAGTATAAGATAAGAATGGCGATCATGGGAATGTAAAACGCCCCAACAGTAGAGTATATAGTGTATCCCAAGTGATCGTGCTCTATGATGCACTGCTGGAAGCTGCCTGTGCGAGGCCTCTGCCTCCAGAATAAGGGCGGCATGGATATGAAAACTGAGATGACCCAGACTATCCCCACCATGATGGCGGCGCGGCGGGCCGACCTCTTGCGAGCGTACTCGATAGCTTTGGTGATGGCCCAGTACCGGTCCAGGGCAATGATGCACAGGTGCAGGATGGAGCTGGTGCAGCAGGTCATGTCCACGCTCAACCACAACTCACACACCACCTGACCCAGGGTCCACGTGTCCATGGTGATGTAGAGGATGCTGATGGGCATCACGAGGAGCGCCACCAGGAAGTCGGTGACGGCGAGGGAGCAGATGAGGTAGTTGGCGGGCAGGTGGAGCTTCTTGTTGGTGCAGATGGCGGCGATGACGGCGGCGTTGATTAGCGCAGTGAGGAGGGTGAGGAGGCTGAGAACAACCACCAACGCCACCATACCGTCTGTGAACGGGACCGCCTGCAGGCTGCCGCTAGGTGGGACGGTGCAGTTTGTGATGTTGGGTCCCGAGGCACTCCCCCCTGGGAAGCTTTCCATGTCCATCCCTGGACCCGGAATCACTCCCAGGGAGACAACGCTCCCTCCTCCAGAGTCAAAGGTCAGTCTGAAACAACAAAATAGGCAAACAGATACATGAGAGACAGCCAACGTGCACTTTTAGTGCTCTAAACTCAATCCAGGGTGCTTCCTGCCTTCAACACAATGCATGCTGGGATACTCTGCAAACTACTATGACCCTGAACATGAACCTGCTGGTACAGAGCTGTATGTTACTTTGGTTTTTATGTTTAGGTTTAACTGTGACGCGTGTGGTCTGTCGGTCAGTCCAACAGTTTGGTTCATGAGAAAAGTATCTTAAAAATAAATGGTCAGATTTGATGTATATACTTACAGTACCAAGTGGTTTGAGAACATTTTACTTCCACCACGTGTCTTTTCATGGTATTCTATAATAGTTAGGTGAATAGTGCCCTTTAGTAATTTGTATACTCTTTATACAAATGAGTGTCGGTGTGAATCTGTGGCAAGAAGCCTTGGAGAGGAGTTAGACGCAGCGGCGCTGGAATGAGCTTTGAAGTTCCAGCTTTGGATGACGTGATATAGAGCGTTTCAATTTTGTTCATTTTAGAGTTAAATACATAAATCCAGTGCCTCTTGAGAGCAAAATTAAGAGGTTATAGATCTATGAAGGACTTTGTGCTCTCTAAACAATTTAATCATAAACACATTAACTTGCAACATGTTAATGAAAGAGACGCACAAACACAAGGTTCACTTTCAAGGTCTTTCTTTCGGGTGAACACGTTCTCCTCTTTTGTTCTCATCATTAACGTCTATATCATGAGCACTTCCTTTGTTTTTCAACCCCAAGCAGCACTTTCCCAGTTTGTTATGCTTCAACAAGAAGATTAGGATTTATGTGTTCATTCTGCAAGATAAACTCATTTTAAGCTGAAAAGGTTTTGTTGATAAGTGGTTATTCTGTGTAAAGCTCACCTCTCTAAACACAGCACACTGATGCTGATGCTGTGGAGCCTGCGTTACCACTGACACACACTGAGGGAAGAAGTGTTGGAGCAGCTAAGTGGTGGCTGTCGCAGTGGACACGGTTGACTGCTGCCCCTGTACAACCTCTCAACACAACGTCAGCTGAACCTACAGGTAATCACGGACAGGTGGACCGGAGCAGCGGCATGCTGTGAATACAGCCAGGTCCATCCGGGGAATAAAACACAGACAGCAGGCTCATTAAGACAAATGAAGATCAGTGACCACCAGAAGCATCTCAGCGGGTCTCCCTTAGATGGCTGGACTGTCCCAACATACAACACCAGAAACACACATCAGCAGCAGCCTGTGAACACCGGATCAAAACTATACTCACAGCTTCCACTGGGAGGAGGTCAAACATCATAGACCAGGAGTCAAAGGACGGCCAGAGAAAGATCAACGAGGATGCAGAGGAAACCATCCTCCTCCAACCACAACCACCTGTTGTCATGTGACTGACTTCCATACTTTGGTTTCATGCTTAGAAGTACCTGCAGCAAAGTATTGTCAAAGTTCTACCGCTGATGAAGGCCATGATATGGCTGAAAGCTCCAGAAGGGATGTACCCCCTTTGAAATGACTAGCGTAACAAAGAAAAAAGTGTTTATTGAGGCAGTTGACAATTTACGAAAGTTAATGTTTGAAAATTGGAATATTGATTATGAAATGTGATTTATTAAACTTAAATTAACATCTTTATTAAACTTATTATAGTATAATAATTATAGGAATTATGCATGACTTTGATTTGATTTAAAAAGCTCACATACCCCCTGCGGTACTCCAAAGTACCCCTAGGGGTACTCGTTCCACCGCTTGAGAAACACTGCTCTACCTGAGGAACCAAAGAGCTAAAAATAGAAAACTAGAGTGTCCTTCTGGAGAGGGATAAACACAGGCCTGGCAACCTGACATTAACTTAGTGCTAAGTGCTGAGTTGCTCGCAATATTCATAAATTAGTTCTTAAGGCTGATAAAACTAAATTCCCGCTTTTCATCAGTAATATTGATTATGATAATCATCTCTACTAAAAATGATATTGAAGGAATCACGGAGTACAAGTGTCTTGGTTTTTGGATCGATGAGAAGGTAACTTTAAATACAATGTTACATCGTTTGTAAAATGCTTTTCATTATAGTCGGAGGTACTTTTGGTGGACATTATGTAACAGGCTTATGATTATGTGATTATGTGACGTTTCTTTGTCTCTTAGGATGTAGCTGACAAGGATTCATACAGTCAGACTCCAGTGAGTGTGGTGATGGATGAACTGGTCAACCTGCCTCCGGCCTTCTGTGTCCTTTTCTAACTGATGTATGCTCTGCACCTGCACTCTCCCAAGTTCATGAAAAACACTTTCTACTTTATTCAGCAAGAAATGCTCAACCTGGGCAGAAGTCAGCTTGAACACAAACTTTAAAAAAAATCAGCTTGCGGTGTAAAATGGGGGTATGTTTGAAAACCCAACAATGAGAAGTACCACTACTCAGTAAGCAAGGCTTTTACTGAATGACCGGGAACTATATTTAAAATCATTGAACAAATGGTAACCTGCAGCAAAATCTTTCAGTGTGTGAGTCCTGGTGGTTTCATTGCTTGGCAGAGTTGAGAGAAAGATAAAAAAAAAAAGCTGCTCCTCTGCTGAATCCAAGATGAGTCATCAGGGACTTATTACAATTCAGCATGAGAGCTGTGTGGCTCCTGCTGTCTCACTGTTATAAGGACTCTCATTGTTATAGTTTAAGACACGGGCTGTATCCCAAAATCCTCCTCCTCCTCCTCCTCCTCCTCCTCTTTGTAACTTTGGAAGGGCAAGACTAAATGGAGGGTGGGGGGATATGAAGCCTTCTGGGACAATTTAGTCCTCCATAATCAAAAGTGGACAGCTGTTAGTGATGAAGTAGCGCTGTCATTATCTGAAGCAGTCTGAGCCCACGATGACTCATCAAAACCAACTCAAGTTTACATGCACCTCATTTGAAGTTGCTGCTTTTTGATTGGTAGTAGACAAGTACTACTTTGATTAGAAAGTTATGATAAATGCTACTTATACAAGCAAGCATTCAGTAATGACAGAGACTTAATGAGGTACAGAAAAAAAGAGATGGCACAAGAGGAAAGGAGGAGGTCGCAAAGGAGGGAGGAGTGGAGAAAAGGATGAGCTAGTGAAGGAAATAAGGCAGCAAAGAAAAAGTGGATGTAAGGGCTGATATGATTAGATAATAAGGAAACAAGAAAACAACAGGGGAGAGGAAGAGGGAGAAGAAGACAAAGAAGACAGAGACGGGAGCATGTAGAGGAGCGATGAAAGCAGCTTATCCTCATTAAACGGTTCGTACGTTATCTCACAAAAAGTTACTGCGAGCAACACTTTCTGAACACGCTCTCTGATTTATTCACATTCCACTGTAACACAGGTTGCATACTGTCAAAGTGCTTTCGCTTAGCGTTCATATAGTTATAGTATAGTTGCATCCCACCACACAGCAGCTTTCATGCAATTTTCTTTAGTTTGCTAGCGGACGCTGTGGGCGGGACTTAAACGTCTCCAGTACCACCCCCCCCCACGTGCCAAATTTCAGCCATCTAGGGGCGAAAACTGCGGCCGCCAAAGGGTGGGGACATTTGTGTGGACTGACGGACAGAGTGAGCTATATAGCTGCTGGTCTCAGCTAAAAACAACACGCAAACAAAATATATATATTTAATTAATACAAATACAGGATATTGGTTATGGAGAGGTTACATTAACGGTGCTATTGTGGCTGTCATGGTCGAGGTTGCTTGACCCTTACATGCACCCTGACGTTTGAAAAGATGTTAAGCAACATCCTCGTACAGTGTCCCCCCCCTCTCATGTTCTCTAGTGGACATCGAAAGTGTCATCGAAAGTTAAAACAGGAAATGATATTTCTCCTATAGGAATGTTAAAAAGAGACTTAGTTTGTAAGTCTCGTGAATGTAACAACCCTCATGTAAAGCGTGATTGATATGAACAGTGTGGGTGGACTGTCCCTCCTCGAGGCCATAACCTCTCCTCTGTCACGGACACGGCTAATCCCAAGTGACAAGCAGCGCTCTGAAAACCCCCACATCGACGGATCCTAAGAGGAAGAGCAGGGCCCGACGGATCATAGGAGGAAGAGC